CCCAGAGCTCAGGGTGTTCCTGCCCCTCCTGCCCTTTGCCAATAGAGCTGGAAACTTCCAGGGCTCTTTTTCCATGGACACCCCTGGAACCTGATTTGACTTTCCTATGAGCACACAGAGCCACCCTTTCCTGCAGATGTGAACTCTCCTCCCTTAGAGCAGTCCCAGCACACACAGCTCCTCCCGTGGGAGAAAATAAAATAAAATAAAATAAAATAAAATAAAATAAAATAAAAATATAAAATTAAAAAATACAAAATTAAAATAAAATAAAATATAAAATAAAATAAAATAAAATAAAATAAAATAAAATAAAATAAATAATGGTGCTGCTCTGTGGTCTCCAGGGGGCTGGGGGTTGTCAGAGCTCCCGGCACTGTCCGTGGAGGAGCAGCCAGTCTAAGCAGGGCTGCCAACATGGTTTCAGGGCTCCGTGTGCCCCAAAGCTCCCCTGCCCAGGGTCACCACAGCCCCTGAGGCAGCCCGGGCCCGGCCCTGCTCTGTACCTGGGCTGGCACTGGGGGTGGGCGCAGGGTGCCGGGCCCCGCTTGGCACCGCCGGCGAGGGCCGAGTCCCCCCGGCAGCCGCCCAGCACCTGCAGCTGCAGCAGCTCCTCCGAGTTGCTGAAGGCCGGGTTGTCCAGCGAGCTGGCCGAGGGCGGCCCCGAGCGCGACCAGTACCGGGCCGAGACGTCGTCCAGGCGGCAGAAGCGCCGGTAGCTGCGGGCAGGACGGGCACGGCTCACGTGTGCACACACACGGCTGCACAGAGGTGTGCAGGGCACACAGGTGTGCACGGGTACACAGGTGTGCACAGGTACACAGAGGTGTGCACAGGTACACAGGTGTGCACGGGTACACAGGTGTGCACAGGTACACACAGGTGTGCACAGGTACACAGAGGTGTGCACAGGTACACAGGTGTGCACGGGTACACACAGGTGTGCACAGGTACACACAGGTGTGCACGGGTACACAGAGGTGTGCACAGGTACACACAGGTGTGCACAGGTACACAGGTGTGCACAGGTGTGCACAGGTACACACAGATGTGCATGCACAGGTACACATACAGGTACCCACAGGTACACATACAGAGGTGAGCACACACAGGTACACACATACACACACGGGTACACACAGGTACACAGGTGTGCACACACAGGTACACACTGTGTATACATACACAGGTACACACATACACACAGGTGTGCACAGGTACACATGGGTGTGCAGACACAGGTGTGCACAGAGACACAGGTGTGCACACACAGGTACACATACAGAGGTGTGCACACACAGTACACACACACACACAGGTACACACAGGTACACACAGGTACACATATACAGCCTGGGCCCCACGGCCCCCTGCCCCCACCTGCTGCGGGTCTGGTCGGCCCTGGCCTCCAGCAGCAGTGCCTTGAACCGGCGGACGGCGACGGCGGCGAGGACGGCGCCCAGGAGGATGATGCTGAGCAGGACCCCGGCCGCCGTGCCCAGCAGGCCCTGCTGTGTCACCCGGTGGTCACAGCGCAGCCCCATGAACCAGAAATCGCTGCCCACGGGGCACCTGCACCGAGGGCTCCATCAGCGCCGGGGGGACAGCGCCCGGCACCCCGGGCTGTCCCCAGGGCACTCACTGGCAGTGGGGCTGGTGGTCGCGGGCGTGGGAGCAGATGCCGTGGTTCTTGCAGTAGGCACGGTGGCAGAGGGAGGTGCAGGTCGCGTTCCCGTCCGCCCCGGGCACGCAGGCGAAGCCGGAGGGGCAGGCGAAGAGCAGAGCGCAGGGGTCCAGCGGCCGCGCTGCGGGGACGGGTCCAGCTGTGCCACCCCTGCCAGCCCAGCCCCACCCTGCCACAGCCCCCCGGCCCTGCACTCACCCAGAGCCATGTGCCGCAGGACGGGGGCCGTGCCCACCGCCAGCCCCGGCCGGGCACGGGCAGAGCCCAGCGCGGCCTCCAGGAGCTCGTCCAGCCCCGGCAGCGGCAGCTGCTCCGCCGCAAACAGCGCGTCGTAGCGCAGCACCACGCTGCCCGCCCTGCGGGGACACGGCCGGGCTGGGCTGGGGCTGGGGGCAAAAACTGCCCGGCCTGGCACTGCCCGGTATGGCACTGCCCGGCCTGGCACTGCCCCAGCCCAGCGCTGCACTGCCCAGCACTGCACTGCCCGGCACTGCCCCAGCCCAGCGCTGCCCAGCTTGGCACTGCCCGGCCCGGCACTGCCTGGCACTGCCCAGCACTGCACTGCCCGGCACTGCACTGCCCGGCACCGCTGCAGTCCCGCAGCGTGTGGCACCCCCTGTACCTGCCCCGGGAGCGGGGCACGCTGCGGGGCTGTGCCACCACCCACCTGATGGCTGTCACCTCCAGCCGCAGGAAGCCAGGCACCGCCGTGAACAGGGGAGTGACCTGGAAGGGCGGCGGGAGCTGAGCGCGGTGGCCCCGGCCCAGCCCAGCCTGGCCCGGCTCGGCCTGGCTCGGCCCAGCCCGGCCCGGCCCGCACTCACCGTCCGGTTGAAGCTGTGCAGCAGCTCCTGGCGCTCCCGGGACCCGGGGTCCTGCAGGGCCGGGACGAAGGCCATGTCCAGCACCAGCTCACAGGGGACGCGCAGGAGGGACGCTGCAGGACGCGGGGAGCAGCAGGTCATGATCCCCCCAGGAGCCACCCCTGCCTCCCCTCCTGCCGTGCCCAGCAGAGGATCCCGAAATCTCAGACTCACCTCTCAGGAGCGGGGGCTGATCTTCCACGATGAACACCTGGGGGGCCCTGCCCACCCCAGCCAGCGTCACCCGGGCGGTGTCGGTGTCTGTCCTCCCTCTGGGGCTGCTCGATGGCTGGACCAGGTCTGTGTCCACAGCAGCTGGGGGGGACCCGGGGCCCCCACCTGGGGAATCTGTGGGCTGCTGGGGGGGCCCGGGCATCACAGCGGGCACATGAGTCGGGGATCCCCATGTCACCCCCTGCCCATCCCTCTGCAGTACAGCAGCACGGGGCCCTGCTGTGACTGCGCCCATGTCCCCGAGCCTTTCTGGGCTGGTGGCAGCTGTGATGGTGGCAGTGACATGGGTGGTGGTGACACCAACAGCAGTGGTTGGTCCTAGGGAAGGTGAAGACTGGGACAAAGCTGGCTGCTGGGGAGGCCCAGGTGCTGAGGGGGGTGCCAGGCTGCCCACTCCCACCTGGGTCCCCCCCAAGGATGGAGGGTTCTCAGCAGGACCCACCCTCGAGCTGGAACGGGGCAGCCCTGGGGAGGGGTCTCCTAGAGGGGTGCCCACGGTGGGGCCGAATCCCAGGAACCCCCAGCTGGTCCCTGGGGAAGGCAGCGGGGCCGAGAGCAGGGTCCCAGCAGAGCCACTGCCTGGGGCAGACTGTGGGGACGAGGGGATGTGGGAGGATCCAGGACTGGCGTGTGTCACCCCACCCTGTGCCACAGCGGGGCTGCCAGGGGCCAGGGGGCCGGGGGGCTGCTCCGGGATGGCTGATGGGCTCGGGGGGATGTGACCGTGCCCAGGGGGAGCTCCCGGGCCAGCTGGGCCCAGGACCCCCGTGGTCAGGTCCAGAGCTCCTCCCTGGCCAGGAGATGTCACCACCGGGGTGCTGGCTGTGGTGGTGGGGACAGGCCGAGCTGAGCCCCTGCGTGTGGCAGGTAGCGAGGCTGTGCCTGTCCCCACAGCTGGCCAGGCCGTGCTGGCCAAAGGGCTCCCACCAGGGCCAAGGGACAGTGCAGAGGGGCGAGGGGCAGAGTGGGGACCCTCCTGTGGGTGGGAAGCAAAGCCCTGTCCTCCTGGCAGCGCTGGCAGGCCCCAGTGTGTCCCCTGCAGTGTCCCAGCAAAGGGTGATGTCCCTGCTGTCGCTGGAGCTGAGCTGTCAGTGGCCAGCACGGTGCTCGGGCGGGTTCCTGGGCTGCTGTCTCCCAGATGGAGAGTGCCACTCTGGCTCTGCACGAGGGGTGTCCCCGTGGCTCTCCATGCCAGCAGGGTGCTGCTGGACGTCCACTGTCCCCTGGCAGAACCTGGCACTGTTGTAGAGGGTGTTGAAGACAAAAGCGTCCCCTGCACGGTGGCACCTTCCCCTGTCGCACGTCCTACAGGGTCAGTGCCCGGGGGCTGCGTGGTTGCAGGATCTGCGCCCACCTCCCCAGGGGCTGGGGCCCCTGCAGCGGTCACCCCCAGCCCGGCAGGGGCCGGCTGCTCCCTGCCCGCAGAGACCAGGGGCCCCGGGGGCTCGGGGGCTGTGCCCCCCGGCACCGCCGGCCCTGTCCCCTCCCTGCCCAGCCCGGCGCCTCCGGGGCTCCCCGGCGGGCTGGAGCGCTCGGCTGTCCCGGCGGGGGTCCCAGGGAAGGGCAGCAGTCCAGCCTCTGTCCGCGGCTGCCCCACGGCCTCTGGTGTCGGCGGCTGCCCCGTGCCAGCTCCCGGCCGCGGGCGATCTGCGGGCACAGGGAGGGAGCGCGGCTGAGCAGCTCCGAGCACGGCCGGTACCGGGGCAGCCGCGGCGGGACCGGGCGCAGCACACGCGGCTGGCACACGGAGGCTCAGAGGGCTGCGGAGGGGCGGCAGTACCTGTCGGGCAGCGCTCCGCGGTGCCCAGGTGCGCGCAGGGGTCGGCGGCGCTCAGAGCGGGGCCCGTCCCGCTGTCCAGCGCCGGGCAAAGCCGCGCGCAGCATTCCACGAGCACTGGGAGGGAAGGGAAGGAGCAGCGTGCACCAGCGCTGGGCATCGAGCATCCTGCACCAGCACCGGCCCGAGCCCGGAGCTACCGCTGAGGGTGGGGGTCTCCTTCTGCCTTCTGTAGCCGTGGGGGGCTCTGCTGAAGGAGGAGCTCCAGAACAACCCAAACCCAGCTGGGAACCAGGTCCCAGCGCACGGTGCTGAGTGCTGCCCCACCGCCTCATCTGCCACCCTGGGCACAGTGATCGCCCCGATCATCCCCGGCGCAGCCGCCGCGTGCCAGCACCGGCACCAAGGGGTCGGCGGGCAGGGCCGAGCAGGGCTCCGGGCAGGGCCCCGGGGCGGCTTTTCCCGAGGGACGGCGGGTGGCTCAGCAGGCTCCACGGCGGGTGGGCGCCGCCCGGGTGGGGCTGGGACTGCTCGGGGGGCGCCACGAGCCCTGCGGGCCCCGCTCTCCACCGGCGCCTCACCGGGGCTGCTGCAGGGGCAGCACCCGCCGCCTTCGAGGCCACGGAGCCGCCCGGGCCGGTGGCACAGCTCGGCACGGAATGGCCACAGCATGGAACGGCCGCACGGAGAACACACGCGGCCGCCGCGGCGTGCCCGCCCCCCTGCCCGCTCGTCCCGGTACCCCGCGGCCGGGCCCGCTCTGGGCAGGTCCCAGTGACACCGAGCAGCAGCTGCCGCCCCCAGCCCCAGCGCCATCGCGGACACGGAACCCCGCTGCCGGTACCGGCCCCGCCGCCGCCGCAGACCTCCGGGCCGCCGGGATGCACCGGCCCTGCCGCCGCCGCCCCCGAGCGCGGCATCTCCCGCCCAGGGACCGGCGCGACCGGGGACCCTTCCGGCCGTGCCCACCTCCCCGCGCCTCGCTCACCTGCGGCGGCCAGGAGCCGGGGCAGCGGCGGCCGGAGCCGGGGCGGCGGGAGCCGGAGCCGGGGCGGCGGGAGCCGGGGCCGCTCCATGGCGCGGCGCGGGCGGCTCTGCCGGGCGGCGGCAGGAAGCCCCCGCCCGCCCCGGTGCGGCGGGGCGGAGGCGCCGGGAACCGCAGCCGCCCCCGGCCCGGGCCCGCCCCACGGCACCGGCACCGGAGCTCCCTCCATCCGGGCCGGGCGGACCGGGGCTCGGCAGCTCGGCACGGCCCCGGTGCTCAGCGCGGAGCCGCCGCCTGCGGGACTCGGGGGACGCACAGCCCCGGCCTGTCCCCCTCCCACCGGTTCATCCCGGGACACACGCTCTGCCCCGCTGTCCCCAGAGCTCTGCCCCGCTGTCCCCAGTGCTCTGACCGGGCTGTCCCCATTGCTCTGCCCCGCTGTCCCCAGAGCTCTGCCCCGCTGTCCCCAGTGCTCTGACCGGGCTGTCCCCAGTGCTCTGCCACCCTGTCCCCAGTGCTCTGCCACCCTGTCCCCAGAGCTCTGCCCCGCTGTCCCCAGTGCTCTGCCCGGGCTGTCCCCAGTGCTCTG